CTCCTGAGAAGCTCCGTTTAATCTTGAAAGAGTGAGGGTCGTGCGTCCAGCGTGAATATTTGTCTGTTGGTGAATTTTACGGCTGACTACAGTCTTAACCAGTGGTGCGATGGCGATATCAAGAACGTATCCATCGCCCAATTAAGTACTGCTAATGTTCGGTTTTGGTATGACTACTCCCTCACCACGTATGTATTCCATTTATGCGTGGCCGGCGACGTCTTTCATATGATTGTGTGAGACTATTATTTCTCGATTTGATTCAGTGATCCTCTATTTATACCAAGTATAGGCGAACTCTCCCTTTTCATTTGAGTTATGCACACTACATTAATAATAAATGCGATAAAATAGTGCAAATATGAAGTAACCAGCCACCTTAGCTTATCCATAGCGGTTGTATGGTGCATTAGAAATATGGTTAAATCGTTCTGGTGTTGGACCTCAGGACAGTGGTGTAATAGTCACGTGCATAAGAAATGCTTGTATGCAATGCTTTTCATTCTTGAGCCCCAACGCAGTTGCTCTCTCGCAGTTCATACTGACCAACCTTCACCAGTCAACAGCGTGCTTCTTGAAACAGATACTGTTGTGTACCCATCACAATAGCAGCCTAATGCAGCCATTTCCCTTCAAAAATTTCACGAGAGCAAGAAAGAACAGCATTTCTGTGGGATAACCTGAATTCAGATTATCTCGTGTCTTCTCATTTAGCCGCTTACAGACAAACCGTGGAAAGAGTAAAGGAATGCAATTGAAAAAGGAGGTCAATAGGAAAATCAATAAAACACTGGGCAAACCAAGGTCATTGCCTGCGTCTTACCAGGGCAAGGCAAGATTGGCCACAAAGTCTATCTGTTTGCAAAAGTTCGGTTTTATTTGTCTGATGGCCGAGGCTTCAGCGAAACGAAGCAACCTCGCGTTGTTTTGTCTGCTGATAACCTTGAATGCGTCACGTGGGTTTTCGCACAAGGTACAATCGAGCAGATGCTGAGCGATAGAGCTGGCAGGGAGTTTAGGTCCACTATTTGCCAGGTCCCGTGGAACATGTTCCATGATCCTAGTTGATAGCCTTCTCTCGGTTCGGCCAATGTACATGCTACCGCAAGTACAGGTGAATTGGTAAACACATGAGGCGGTCTCTCCACTCTTGAATTCCCATGGATGTCGTGGTCTAAACTTGTTCCATCTTTGGCTGAGTGTTGCTGACTGACTACCAGCACCTAACATGTCATTCTGAAGGCACCAGTATGCTTACAGTGACCTAACTTCCAGCACGCTTTACCCCCATTCGACATTGTTACGCAGTTTTTAGATACTTCATTGATTGCACGCGTTGTTGGTCTCATAAGCCCTTCCTTTCCACAGCCAAATGATGTCCTAAGTCTATGCGAACTTCTACACATGTTGAAAGCCCGCGGACACCGGTGGACAAACCATACACATGTCATCAAACCAACTACAGATTATCATGAGTGTGGTGTAGTTTGTTGAACAACGTTAGGTATATGAAGCCCGTATTCATCTTTCAACAAAAATGTGTACCGTATTTTTCGGACTGTAAGGCGCACTTAAAATCCCTATATTGGTTAAACATTCTGCAGTACGTCTTATATTCCGGTGCGCCTTATATATAAATGGTAGTATTGAGGCCTAGTGACCTCGAATCAATTTCTATGTTCACACTGCGCTGAAAAACCAGACAAACTGTTTTGTTACGACTTTGATTCTCGAAGCATAATTACTGGTCAGGAACCTCTTACAGTCAGCTTTCTATGTTGTCTAGACAGACTTGTTTTGGGGTGGCGAATTCTGTGCAGGAGCCAACTGATTCGAGCTTTTCTGGCGACGATAAACCACCCAACTTTTCAACCATCCACGCTGATATCCCATACTATGATATATGTGATAGTTACTGCACCCGGCAAACTCACTTGGTCCAACAATGCACCTTGCAAACACTGTCTCGCTGGTTGCAGATGTGTTTGTGTTTGTACACACGATCTGCGCTCACACCAGTGTTCCAAAGACGTGCGGTCATCCAGACAGTCGGCGACGCTCGTGTGAGATTCACTCACATCATCGTCCAAACTGTATTTTTCGAATAGACACGTGGAACATATATCGTCCTGCGTGTACTACGGAGGGAGTAACAGTGAATTTAGGCAGAAATGCGTGATAACATACAATCTGGCCACCATATGAGGTCAAGCACGAAAACATTTTTCAGCGCGTCGCATGCTGGCGATCAAAACGATCATTCTTCGCTTACCTCTACCACTTTTCATGATACATACTGTGCTTCAACATCCCGGTAAGTAAGGAACCCAAAATGACAGCTGTTAAGAGACATGCTTACAAAGCGGATTTCAAACTCAAGACCATCAGCCACGCAGTACAACCTGGGAATAGAGCAGCTGCGAAACAATTCGACGTTAATGAATTAATGGTACGGAAGTGGAAGAAGCAAGGGGATGATCTGCGCCATGTAAAGAAGACAAAGAAGCGTTTCCGAAGGAACAAAGCAAGATGGCCACAGTTAGAGGACAAAATTGAGTAATGGATTTCTGAACATAGAACCGCAGGTATATGTCTCTACAGTCTCCATTCGAATAAAGCCAATGGCGATGGCACTTGATATGAAGATGAACGACTTTCAAGGAGGTCCTTCTTGGTGCTTCCGTTTTATGAAAAGATGTCATCTCTCCATCCGCACAAGAACTACCACCTCACAGCAATTGCCAAAGTTGGCCATCTTCCGCACTTACTGCAAGAACAAGATCATCGAAAAGAAGATCACAAACAAGGACAAGGTTCCTCTCAGTTTTGACATCCCTGTGAGTCGTACTGTTGAAAAAACAGGGACGGCTATTGTGTCTATACGCACCACAAGGAACGAGAAATCACCTTACACTGCAGTTCTCGCTTGCCAGGCTAATAGCCAGAAACTACCACTCATGGTTACTTTTAAGAGGAAGACTTTGCCAAAAGAAAAGTTTCCTGTTGTGGTCATCGTCAACGTCAACTCAAAAGGCCCAAGGACGAGGAGAAAATGAGCGACTGGCCGAGAGAAATTTACGTCAGGAGACAGGATAGCTTTATCCACACGTCTCCGTCCTTATTGATCTACGACTTCAGGTGCTTACATCTCACCGAAACTGTCAAACGCCAAGCGAAGAAAACTACTTCGGAGCTTGCCATCATTCCGGGAGGAGTAACCAAAGAACTCCAACCGCTCGATATTGGTGTCAACTGGGCATTCGAAGTTAAATTGTGAGCCGCGTGGGAGCCTTGGATGACAGAAGGTGTGCACATATTTACCAAGACAGGGAGGCAACGCCGGGCTGGTTACGCCACTATCTACCAATGGATCGTCGATGCATGTGCCAACGTATCGGTCTCAACTTTCGTCCGAGCTTTCACGAAGGCGGGGATCATCAATGAACAGCCAAGCAACAGCAACCGGACTGACTCAGATGATGACGAGAGGGATCCGGGCTTGCTTGATACCGCTATCGCCCAACTGTTAAAATCCGACACTGCAGTTGAGGAATTTGACGGATTTGTATAAGAGGAATTGTTGAAAAACGAGTGCATTTTTCTGTTTTATGTGTTAAAAGTGAATAATATTGGCAGTTGTTGTTAATGAGTTGAATTATGTCTCACCTATCCGACTATTTTGTCTCGCTTCATTCACCTTATATATGAAATTAGATCCGTTCACTGATACTGCGTCTTATAATCTGGTGCGCTTCATCATCAGAAAAATGCAGTAATTATATTTATCGTCAACTGTGTAAGGGATACATGAAGCCATTACTTATTTGTCCACTCGGGCGAATTACACTGTTTTTTCATAGTTGTTCCTCTTACCATGCTTCTCTCTCGTGATACACGTCAGATATGTTGTTGGGATTAAAGTAAGTCTAACATCTGCTACGGTCTGCTTGAGTTTCAGTTAGGTGCAAATGGAATACAGAGAAAGTGGAAGCAATAAGAGTGAACGCAAAACTAAGCTAGATGTATGCAACCTAATGCATGAGTGACGCTGACTGTGCGACTGTACCATATCCGATTGAGTCTCTAAACATTATTGTAAACCATACCGAGGTCCCAATTCACCTAACACAGCCAGCTCAAGTTTCTCAATCAGCTTTTCCATTCCTTTGTGCCACGTCATAATTTGGTCACATCGCGATTTCTCCCAACTTGGTGCAACGACAGCGTGGGGCTCACGCTGAGGAAGGTGATCAGCGTGCGTGTGGAGGGCATGACCGAGCGAACGTAAATGTATCAAGTTCAACAGATACTCCAATAAGGCATCATAGGGTTTCTTACCAACAAAACACTTGACGGAATCCAACGTTGCCCATCCTGTTTTCCCGCCAGATGTGGGCACTACTTCGTAAGTACCATTGATCAAATACTGACAATAGTTTAATTGCATCAATGCGAAATGACTAGGTTTCCCATTCATTCAATAACATAGACCTTGTCGCAGCGTTATACGTCCTGCTGCTCAGTGAAAGACTGATTTTCCGCCATCTCCATACATGGTTGAGCTTCTGCAATGCAACACGATTCTTGCTGATACGCGACACAACCTCAATGATGTAACCACTGGATGTGACACAAGTATTAATTTGAGTGATGCACCACTTCCAGTAATTGTTGGCTGATAGGTAAAACCGGTGGTGTATCAGTCCAGTTCTGCAACAATATATATATATATATATATATATATATATATATATATATATATATATATATATATATATATATACATATATATATATATAGTGGCTCCTTTTTCGTCCTTCCATTTTATCATGACATGGTCTTATGATCTGTGAAACGGGATCTGGATACCGATGCGTATACTTCTGATAATCTTGTAGAAAACAAGGATTGTATGAGTACACGGAAAACGTAACCAACCAACTAGTTTGACTACATATATGTGCATGTATTAAATATTTGTAAGTGTCTTCACCACTCACCCCTCGGTGATCGTACGGTTTGGGATCTTTGTAGGCATCGAGCTGAAGCCTTCCATACTTTACGAACTCCTTCTTTGCGGTGAATGGACGAGATGAATGAAATGAGGTGACGAAGTTTTTCACCTTCCCTCTTTGTACACCAGCTGCACGGTAAGAGTGCTTGTCTGCTCTTACGCAATATGGGTGTTTCATCAACACCGATTGCACAGTTGCAACTACCGGAAGTGCATTCCCTATCGGTTTTGCTGCCCGATGCTTTCTTCGCCTCTTTATTACCGGCTGCCAGGCTTGTTGCCCGAAGTCAAGTATGTACCGTGAAGCTTGCTGAAGAAGTGAACGTGGAATCGGTGATTGTCGATTGTGTTCTCGTTTAAAAGCAATATCAGCCTCAAATTTCAGCCGTGAGCTAAAGTCAAGGCAACTTTCCATCTGATTGAAATCCATTGAAGCGAACGTTAACGATTCGTGTGACCTTATCACCCTGGACTTTCGAAGTGTTGCTGCGTAAGGTTAAGGTTAAAGTGATTCGACAATTTTCATTTTAGTACAGAGGACAATAAAGCGAGGGTTAACCATTGTTTTCAAGGATTCATCATCACGCCTTCGCAATCGCACGACAAAGATGATAATAACGACAAGCTAATCCGATCGGTTTAGCTGACGTAGGTCACGTGGGGGTCCCAACCGTTGTTGTACTGAAGTAGTTGTTCTTAGCTTCACTTATTTTTAGCGACCAAGATATATGTAAAGCCTGCTTTAATTTGCTTTAGAAGCATAAATTGTTTGAAACAATTTTTCTTCTGCTTTGTGATCAGAATAATCAGAAATGCCTCCGTTCTTTCAGGCTTTGCTTGAGTGGAAGTTTCGTCAAGCCATCGACTGACAAATCTTGAGTATTCGGATGACGTAGCTCTCCTTGGATTTTGCACAGCAACTTTGCAAGCACTACTGTATAGACAGACGTGTAGTGCAGTATACTTCGGTATGTAGTTTGCACCTTCAAAGTGTAAAGTATTGCTGCAGAACTGGACCGATACACCACCGGTTTTACCTATCAGCCAACAATTACTGGAAGTGGTGCATCACTCAACTTAATACTTGTGTCACACCTGGTGGTTACATCATTGAGGTTGCGTCGCGTATCAGTAAGGCTCGTGTTGCATTTCAGAAGCTCAACCATGTATGGTGACGGCGGAAAATCAGTCTTTCACTGAGCAGTAGGACGTATAACGCTGCGACAAGGTCTATGTTATTGAATGAATGGGAAACCTAGTCATTTCGCAGTGATGCAATAAAACTATTGTCAGTGTTTGATCAATGGTACTTACGAAGTAGTGCCCACATCTGGCGGGAACACCGGATGGGCAACGCTGGATTCCGTCAAGTGTTTTGTTGGTAAGAAACCCTACGATGCCTTATTGGAGTATCTGTTGAACTTGATACATTTACGTTCGCTCGGTCATGCCCTGCACGCGCACGCTGACCACCTTCCTCAGCGTGAGTCCTACGCTGTCGTTGCCCCAAGTTGAGAGAAATCGCGATGTGACCAAATGATGACGTGGCACAAAGGAATGAAAAAGCTGATTGAGAAACTTGATCTGGCTGTCTTTGTGGATTGGGACCTCGGTATGGTTTACAATAATGTTAAGAGACTCTATCGGATATGGTACAGTCGCACAGTCAGCGTCACTCATGCATTAGGTTTCATACATCTAGCTGTTAATATCCTTTCCGTTCCGCTATGTTTTGCACTCGCCGTTTTCGCTTCCACTTTCTGTGTATTCCATTTGCGGCAAAGGTCATTTTTTATTACCGTTAGTTACTAGGATTCTGCGAAGCGAATCGTTTTTGTTTTATCCACTGTACGTTTGTGCTTAGTCATGGTCGTTTAACTGAACTGAATTAAAACAACTGGACACAGATTTCTTGGAGAGTTTTCTCCAGATTTTATTTACATTGGAACTGTGCATTTCGAGTATAGCGTTGCAGAAGCTTTCTCGACTCAACAACCGTTATGAACACCTTATGTGCGTATCGTTTCTTGATAACTTCGCAACTGGAAGGTCGGATAGATTCACCCCATTATAAGTCTGCAAGCAGTGAACCTAGTGTAGTCACTATAGAACATTTCGATTCCATTATGCTAAGAGGTAAACATAACTTTATCGGCTGTCTGTCCCCAAATGCAAATGGAATTTACTCAGAAGACGTTAGATTAGAACTTTGTGTTTACTCATAATATTCTGCGTTGTCTATGCTGATGCTCTCAAGTTATGGTCAGAAGTAACTGGTCTTGAGTACCCGGACAGACTCCAAACGGTGCTAGACCTGCTGCACGATGGGTCCATCAAGTGGTAACTCCCCGTACACCGCAAAAAATGTGCTGTTCTCCGGTGTGGTAACCTGGATCCGTTCGGTGCATACCACATTGGAGGGTATGCCACGCACGAGTAGGGACTGGGGGGTTATCGTGTCACATGACCTTAGAGCTTCCCAAGACATCCTGATGAACGTCGCGGCCGCAAACAGGATGCTGAATGCTCAGCACAGGTCGTTCTTCAGTATCACTCCGGCAATTTCCATTATTCTGTTCACATCACATATTCGCCCGATATTGGAGTATTGGATTCCAGTTACCTATCCTGTCTTGAAATCTGAATGCGGCTTGCTGGAAAGGGCTCAGGGGCGTGGTTTGAAATCTGTCATGGAGTTTCGAGATATTGCTTACCCTCTTCGGCTCCGAAAGCTTGACCTTTCTCCATGGATTATCGTCGGCGCCGTGGAGAACTTATCTACATCCGACGGGTCCTAAGAGGAGAAGTTGGGAGTGAGGTGCAAAACACTTTACACTCAACGTGAACAGCTTTACACGGGGACACGAGTGTAAATTGTACAAGAGCCGAATACTTCACATCCCTTCAAAGGCTGTCCTATTGATTTGGGTAGTGAATGATTGGAACAACTTACCGGAGATCATTGCTGTTGCACTGACAGAGGAAAGTTTCAGACGGCTTCTTGGGTGCAATCTGATAGTACGGCAGAGTTCTGGTGCTCCTATTGCAACGACGATGACCCCTAGAGGAGTGCCGCTTCGCAGCCAGTTGCGTCAAACCCGCAATGAACTGGACTCGATGGAGCTGACAATGGTCTCTCCTCCTCCTCCTCTCTATGCACCAATGATGCAATGAACCTATTTAATTCAATCAACTTTCAGGTGAAACCCAACTCATAACCACTGAAGCTTCACTTGGAATTCGTCAGCTATCCAAACGTTGCAATCCTGGTAGAAGCACCACCACTCCGCGTTCGACACTGTATAACCCATGGCGACAAATAACATCCGAGGTCGGTCTTACTTTCACTAACAACTTTGGCAGAAAGCTCTAGGAGTGTACTTCGAGTTTTACCGGTATATATGGAGCGATCTCGTAATGACGTATCAGTTCATCCAAAACCCTAACTACAATTGCCACTATTTGCTGAAACAGTCAAAATATACGTTTGTGGAGCCGTCATTATAACTTAACCACGCAGTACAGCCGACTGGAATATCCACGATGTGTTGCCTTCCTCCGAGTATCACAGTCCTGGAACTTTCTCTCAATGCATGTGTTTAATGCCCCCACCTTATCACTACTCAGAAGACGACCTGACGACATACTGACAAATTTACACTGGATGATATACCCCGCGATGGTAATGTGACGGCATTAATGCAAAACAACTAGTGGACGGTATCAGACTTCCCGTAAGCCCCAGGCAGGAATACTCACCGGTGTGCTACTACAAACCTCCTAGGGAGTCTTGAAACTTGCGTGTTATTCCATCGACACTGTGTCTTCATCTTTTGTTTTTCATCCTAATTGTGCTACGGGACTTGTCAAGCGTTTGCTTTCATACCGGTTGGTTGGGGCTAAGCCACACTCTCCAGTTGCGTTGCTACAGTGTTAGTTTTCAGTAGAACAACTCGTTCGGGCAGCGTCTGAAATGCTTCCGTGTTTGGCGAACGTTGTTGTGCATTACGTGGCCACGTAATAATCGCTCACCTAATCATGTACAATCTAAATCATGTGTGCCACTTTCTACTGGCGCTCCGCCGTAGCACCAACTTAAAAGACAACACTCTGAAACTGTACAACCGCATGGAATGCAACAGAAATGTACTAATTGTTTTGTTTCTAAGCCGTTGAACGCACCCTTCTACTCATTCGTTTCATTTCCTATGGTAGCTCTTTTTAAATGACGCTTGAATAACGCCCTTAGTCACCTACATTTCGCCGCTTACTATTCCGCTTCGGGGAAAGAAGTGTTAGCTTCATGAACAGTAACTTGTTTCCACACTACAACAACTCTGATGTGACTTATGTAATCAAAGACATGTAATTGATCTGATTTCGTGATAGAAGTAATGTGCTCATGTAAAATGCCTATGAATTGATAAACGTAACCATTATGCTTGAAGCGGACAAATGTTTTCCATTTAATTGTACGGCTGACTACATAAATATACGGCTGGCGGCATCCGGTTTCGGATTTGCCTGTCACTGTGGCCAGCCACAGAACACCGGCGCCTAGAGAGGGACCATGGATGGCTTGCGCTGCACCACACACAGCTCCAACCACACACCCCAAATCCAGTGTAAACCTGAATGAATAAGACTGGGAAGCATGTGGATGGGAGCCACGTTTCATCAACGGAATCGGCCCACACTCCTTCAAAGGCAAACACAAACACGCTGTATTTGGGAGTTAAGCGCACACAAGGCGGTGGTTGGACCGTTGTTCTCTCTACACTGAGTGCATGGAACCACTCTTCGAGCCTAGCACGACCACAAGGACCGTGCACCCCGTCCATTGCAGCAACGACCAACTGTCTCCTAGATCCAATATGGACGAGGTAGTGGGTAATAGACAGATAGGTACCTTGTCAACATGCACACCAAGCGCAACCACGCAGGGGATATCGAGCAACAGTCAATCACTTGAAACGACAATATGAAGTAAAATAGATCTGATAATGCATACAGATACGGAGACATAACTCTTCATTAAATGAGCGTATAAAAAATGATTACGATCGAATCCACGATAAGTACAAGAGGTCAGAAAACATATTTTAAGAAAATACCACAAGCGCGAAACTGTTATCGAAATGAAATACAATTAGCTTCAGCAACGTGTGCAAGTTTATAGAAGATAATGCAGGTAGACCAGAATATGAGAAAGAAAATCATCAGGACAAATTTGAAAACCCACCACCTGAAATAAAGGGCTTTGGCATGCAAGCACATGGTTAATAAATGAAATGCAGCGTACCTACAAACGCTCGCCGGTTCTGTATACGTTCTCTGCAGGACCCGTCGTCGCTTCGGTAGTGGTCTCGAGTGGCCTCGCTCATAGCCCACTAGGCCTGTCTGACTCAGGCGATC